CTGATATTTGTTTAGATCAATACTTTTTAAACTGAGAAAATTATCTTATAATTACATGCACAATTATTAACAAAATATGTTGCTCCAAATGCTTTGTAATTATTCAATATTCTCTCATATTTAAACTTCCTATACTATTCAATAAAGATTCTATATCCAATGTTAACGAAACCTTCAAAATTAGAAATTCCATGCATCGCATGGACCAACACTAATGGTAGTAAAAGGACAAATATAACCCTTTTGAATAGAATTGTTGTCCTTAAAATAATTAGTGAAGGTATTTTGATATGAAATATGATTTGATCGTTACAAAATGTAAAAAGCTTGTAAAGAGTCAAATCACTTTAAATTAGCAACGACTCTTTGGTGGGCTACAAATTTAAAATTCGGGCATTGATCGAAATACTCTATATTACTATTGAGATCCTTTATCTTCGATTGGTAATTTTTTTTTTTTTCATTTATTTACTCGAGTTGAAATATTCAACCAAAAACAAGGGTCTCATCTTGAAATTAGGAAGGGGTTTAATTGAGATCAAGATTCTCTATTTCTCTCTTGATTGTGATCAGAATATGGACAAGAGAAAATAATAAAAATGAAATATTTATGAATAGTAATCTCGATCAATTATTCTAGCGGACGATCTATTCTAGCCAAATTATTTCTTTCCTCGAGGAGTAAACGCGCAAATGGTCTATGAACTTTATCCCATGTACCAAAACATCTCTGAACTTGACTTTGTGTAAAAATTATACATGAACTAAAATTTTTTTATGCTATTCATACATGAATTAACTTTCACCAATTAAAATTATTGTAATAACTCACATAACTAACAAAGTTCCTATGTGACAAACACTTGACAAGTTAATTACGCGAATAGTACATAAATATACATCTTGTATTGAAATTATACATGAGTTTTACTCCACATATTAAACTCATACATAGACTCAGCTTTATATCGTAATTATGCATGAACTCACAAATTTATTCTGTTAATTTTGACCCATCAAAGTTAATCCTTGTATGAGAGTGGATACAAATTTGCGAATCCATCTATAATTTTGATACAAAATTGAGTTCATGTATGATTTGATACAAGGGGTTAAGTTCATGTATATTTTGAAACAAGGATAAAGTTCATGTACCATTCCCGTAATTAAGTTGACAAGTGTTTGCCATATCATTGATCCTTAGGTATTCTGTTTCTCACGTGGATTATTTCATTAGTTTTAAGTGATGGAAGTTAATCCATCTATAGATGTGATAAAAATTTGCAAGTTCATGCATAATTTTGATATGAAACTGAGTTCGTGTATAATTTTTGGTGCGTTTAGTAAATTCCATGTTCCATTCGCACATTTAATCTCTCAATTTACATATATTCTCATTCATAATTTTCGTTAATTTCCTAATGCATTCTAGCATCCACGTTGCCTTCAGAAAAACAACTTAGCATCCCATTACCGTTGATTCAATTTTACAAATATTTCATTCAAATGGTTAATGAAGATACAAATATCTATATTTGTTTTTTACATGAAATATCAAAGAACTGATTTCACATTAAAGAAAATTTATCTAACCTTGTGCTACTTGTTATATTGCCATTGAATGGAAGACTTCAACTGAGAGGGGAAATTAGATTTTTAGTAAATTGTGATAGAAGTTTTTTTTTATGGATCCACAACTTTTCAACCACACATTCCAAAAAATTCTAACAATCTACTAAAAAAACTAATTTTAATCCCCACAAAACACCCACAAGCATACTCGTTTTTGTGCAGGTATATGAATTTAAGTTCATTGCAAATTTCACGGTGTATAAATAGTTATACTACAACTTGGAGCAAGAACTGGGCGAAGAACAAAGCACGCCTAACATTGTAATCTTTAGCAGTTTTGTGACTTGTGTTATCTGCAAGTCGCTTGCCAGCATAAATTAGCCAGCAATAGAATAAGACTATAAGACGACACAACCAAAATGTATAGCATGGAGAAGAAAGTTCAAGCATGCCACTTACAAGTAACCAATAACCACAGTTCAATTCTATAGCCAAGACTACAAATGCATTACTTCAAAGAATCATCTCAAACAGTGTCATGGAGAGAACAAAGAAAGCACGAGGCTGCTTATTGGAAATAAGATTGTATGTCTAGGGGCAAATTAATAAAAGTTCATGTTTAGGCACAATTTTCCTGGTTTCTCCACAGGTATATAGAATAAATAGTTCAATGCAAGCATATCATAGTGCTATCTAAAGACCGCCACCCCTGAGAGCAACAACCAGGTGAAGAACAGAGCCACCTTCAATGTTGTAATCTTTAGCAGTTTTGTCATCTGCAAGCTGCTTACCAACATAACTGAGCCTGCAATAAAAAATGTTTCACATCACCACATGCTTCATAAAAATTTGGATCTTTAAGTTTCAACAAACAATTATGACCCAAGTAATCAAAATAAAACAACACCGCTAGAAGCTACATCAGAGAATGCATGTTTTTATTTTTAAAATGGCATATGATAATGCTTTAGTAGACAATTGTGCCTCTTACATCGTGATAGTTAAAAATGACGTGGTCTCACTTTACATTGAACTCTGTCTCCCAACAATTGGTTTCTCCTTCCAACCATAGTCCTTCCGCCTTCGCATTGCCCTGGCAACTCTACACCAGAATATCACTAAGGTTTCTCACTTTTTGACTTGTTTGATTGANACACAATGATAAAAAAATTTATCACTTTTATTGACAATTTTCATACAAAACGAAGCCAAATGAATGGTATTCGCTATGGTAATTTTTTTAGGGCAATTGGAACAAATCCTAGACCCAATGGTAGAAAAAATTATCACTTTAATAGACAATTTCCATAAAAAAAAAAAAAGTCGAACGGATACTAAATTTCTAACATTTTCCAGGTGAAAAATTATACGAATCAAACACAATTAATTACAATTCCCATTAAAACAATTTCTAAACAATTCAATTCCCTGGAATTCATTTTCTTTCCACCCATTTTCCACATTCACAATCAAACGGATCCTAATCATTTTCGGTCAATGATTCCTTTTGGATATTGCGTTTTCAATAAACGGATGTGCGTGCATGCCTGAGTGAGTGAGTGCATGGATGTAGATCAAATTAAGATTAACAAAAATGAAGCCCTTATTTGATTTAGATAAAAATCGGATTTTTAGTTTTGATCAAAGTTGAAAAAATGGGTGGTTGAAAAATTTATGAAAGTTGTGGGTCTCATAAAATATGAGATTAAAAATGAATTTGAAGAAAAATAAATTTTAGAAAATGGGGGCTAAACAGGAGCGTATATTAGCTTTATTCTCATTAATGGTATGTTTGAACCACATTATTTTGAAGAGTGAATTGCCTATTTAGTCACTGAACTTTCAGTCATGCACGCAAGGGGTCACTGAACTTTCAAAATAATGCAATTAGTCACTGAATTTTACAATTCTTCATCCCATAAGTCACTGAACAAACGGCCGT